GCTGGGATTACAGGCATGCGCCACAATGTTTGACTAATTTTTGTATTTTTAATAGAGATGAGGTTTCGCCATGTTGGCCAGGCTGGTATTGACTCCTGACCTGCAGTGACCTGCCTGCCTTGGCCTGCCAAAGTGCTGGGATTACAGGCATGAGCCACTGTGCCTGGCCTATATTATTATTATTATTAAGTTATCATTTTTATTACTTTATATGATAGTAAGTACTTAGGTATAGAATATAGGCAGAGGCAGATTTATGACCAAATTTGCAGTCATTGTTAGACATGTTTATTTAACTGATTTCAAAGCTTATTAACAGTATATTTTTTATTTATAGTTTTTGTTTTACCTGTTGATTGTGATACATTTTTAAGTGATTATTTTTTCAGTAAGGGTATCTCAGTGTTAAATTTTCTGCGCCCTTGCAGACCTGAGCATTCTCTTTTGCCCCCCCATGAAAAGACAGCACTGTGTGCACGATTTTTGTATCATAACCTGTTGTTCTGTTCCTTCTGTCTCAAATATAACTCTCTCTCTCCCTCTCTCCCTCTCCCTCTCTCTCTCTCTCTCTCTCCCCCTCTCCCCCTCCTTCTCTCTCTCTCCTCTTCAGCTTTTCAAGCATTTAATGCTTCAGAGAAGTTCATGACCAAAGCAACAAACACCATAATTTGTTAAATATTGCCCCAGGGTATATCTATATGTGGGCTTATATATTTTTATTCTGCAAGTGTGTGATTATGTCTGACTATGCTTTTATCCCTCTTATAGTGGTTTCTTCTTGGCTCTTAGCTTGAATCTCTCTTTTATTTCTAACATGTTATGTCTCATTTTAATATGATTGCCCCTTTCTTGTGACTCTCATTAAACACTGTGTTTTCTATATATTTCTGGCCTTTACTGCAGCTCATATGAATTTTGATTTTATTGTTTACATTTTTATTTTTTGAGACAGTGTCTTGCTCTGTCGCCGAGGCTGGAGTGCAGTGGCAGAGTCACGGCTCACTGCAGCCTTAATCTGCCAGGCTCAAGCAGTCCTCTCACTTTGAGCCTCCTGAAGAACTGGGACTACAGGCACGTGCCATTGTGCCTGGCTAATTTTTTTATTTTTTGTAGATTCAGGGTCTCACTATGTTGCCCAGGTGGGACTTGAACCCTTGGGCTCAAGCAATCCTCCTGCCTTGGCCTACCAAATTGCTGGGATTATAGGCATGAGCCACAGTACCAGGCCTATTATTTACATTTTTAATTTCCCTGCTTTTTTCCATCATCTAATATACTTTCTTATCCCATCCTGTATATTCTCTAGAGTTTTTGGTTCCTATTTCCTAGGTATCATGTCTTTTTGCATTTTATGGAATATAACAAGCAGTATTCTAAAATGTTCTTTTGATTTCTATGGGTGATTATTTTCATTGTTTTCAAGCTGGTGTTCTGTATTCCTTGGGCCTATTTTTTTGTTTTGTTTTTGTTTTTTTTAATTTACTCTTGTTATTTTTATTTCCCTTTCTCCATTTTTGGATGAGGAGACCCATATGTAGTCTCAGTACTGTGTTGTATTTTTCATTGTTAGGATATATATACTTGCATGGAGTTGCTCTTATCCTGTTTTTATTCATTTGGGTGCTGCTTGAATTGCCATCGAAAATTTATAATGAAATAGTTTGTAGGTATAAAAGCTCCTTGCCAAATTCCAGTATCTGTCAGGGTTTTGTCCAGAGAAGCTCTGCTGGACTGAGAAATAACTGTGGGCAGGCTTTCTCCATCATCTGACTCTTTAAGATTGAGACGACAGAGGATGTGAAAAACTTGAATCTTGAATCCTAACTTGGTACTGCTTTAGGAGTTTTGAAAAATGTTTATGTTTTCTTTTTTTTAATTATTATAATTACTATTATTATTATTATTATTATTATTTTTCCTCCCATTTATTTTATTGCATTTTAGGTTTTGGTAATTATTATTTTTTTAAAGCCAGTCAAATTTAGCAGTGGGGGGTTGTATACCAACTTTAGTGACACTAATGCTAATAAGTTCTGATAACCCACTACCATCGGACCAGCCGATGTTTATGTTTTCTAAGAAGTAATATGCTTCCTTCACTCACCACTGTCGCTTCTACTCCATCGTCTTCAAATAGTTGTAGTCTTTATTTGTATGTAGAGCAGTATTAAAGGAGAAGATAAATAAAAAAGGAAGACATAGAGGGCAGCTGCTTTGGTTTTAGGTTGATTAGAACTTATGCTTCTAAAAGATCTAGAAGATAGATAGTTGGGGAAAGACAGCAGGTCTTGTATATTCTTTCAGACAATCATGAGTCATTCATTGAATTTTGCCATTTTAGTAAGATGTTGGGTATGGCTGCATTGGGGGGCTACTAGCCAACTGTTTTTTTTTTTTTTTTTTTTTAAGATGAAGTGTCTGTCTCCCAGGTGGGAGTGCAGTGGCATAATCAAAGCTTACTGCAGTCTGGACCTTCCAGGCTCAAGCGATTCTCAGCCTTCCGAATAGCTGGCATCAGAGGCATGTGCCACCACAACCCTGATTTTTAGAATTTTATAGAAATAAGATTTTGCCATGTTGCCAAGGCTGGTCCTGAACTCCTGGGCATGAGCCACACGTGTCAGCCACTAGCTGTTACTTTAAACATGAACTCCTAGAAGACATTAGTGTCAGAAGCCACAAAAACTTAGAATTCTTAATTTTTTTTTTTCTTTTTGAGATGGAGTCTTGCACCGTCACCCAGGCTGGAGTACAGTGATGCAATCTCTGCTCACTGCAGCCTCCACCTCCTAGGTTCAAGCGATTTTACTGACTCAGCCTCCTGAGTAGCTAGGATTACAGGTGCCTGCCACCACACTTGGCTGGTATTTTGTATTTTTAGTAGAGATGGGATTTCACTATGTTGGCCAGGCTGGTCTTGAACACCTGGCCTCTTGATCTGCCCACCTCAGCCTCCCGAAGTGCTGGGATTACAGGCATGAGCCACCACGCCCCGCCAGAAATCTTAAAATTTTAAATAAATGCCAAGAGGTTGATTGATTTTACACATTTGATTGCACATTTCAAGGGAATACTTACCTTACAAGAGTAGACTGGATTTCCCCTAAACATTAAATGATCTTTGCTCTGTAGATTCTTTAGTATGAATTTGGTAATCACATTTATCCAAATGTAGTTGCACTTTGCCCTTGATAATATGGTTCTATACAAAAACTAACAGGAAGGAATTATGCTTATGGGGAGAGTAGAAACATTTGGAGACAAGCTGTTTCCCATGGGTTACTTTAAAAATGAAACGATTTTGTACAAAAGAAAAAAATGATAACAAAAATTTTAATGAAGCTAAAAAGTCTCAAAAATTGAGTATCGTGTAATATCTTCTACTTGTGCTTTTTATGAGGCAACATTATTTACTGGAAGAGCTATGGTTTTTTGTGTTTTTTTTTTAAAACACAAAAGGACTAAATTCAGGACTTGCAAGTCAAATTCGACCTTGGGTTAGTGGTTCTTTCCTTCTCTGTTATTGCAGGAGACTTTAAGTTTTTAGTCCACACTGTAGACTTGTGACCACAGCTGAATTAGCCGTGTATTTACATTTTGGCATTCTTGAACCAGGACCTTGTTTGTTCTGTCTTTTGTGGGCGTGGGTGTGCCTGGCTTCTCTGGTGAGGAACATTTATGCAAATTTATATTTCTTAAATGAGACTAGAAAAAGAACAGAGCAAACATAAAATTGAATAATTTTTTATATGTGCTTAATCACTCTTTGTATTTTAAACATTCTTTTTTTTTTTTTTTTTTTTTTTTTTTT